CTCTTCTAAACACGGCAATGAACTTTCTGGTTTCGTAAAATGTTCGGAAATTCTTGAGTAGCTGCGCAACTGGCAGTTTCTAGAGAATAGCTCAGCTCCGCGGAGTTCGTTAGTTATCCAGCAAGGGGCCATCGGACAACAAAGTTATGGAGGAAGCGGGAGTAGACAAGGATTAAACCTTTAAAGCACAGCTGTTACTATATGTACCATCCGTTTTAATATCAATATGCTATTAATTTTGTCCACCGAGTGTACTTCAGCGTTTCTTACGATTCTCAGGCTAAACTGCCGTTATTTCGCTAAACAGAATTAAGCAGCGTTTCTTTACAATGTACATTGAGTGTGTTTTCTGTGAGCCAGGAACGGAATCTTAAAGTTAATTCGTAAAATATCTTCGTGTCATCTTTGACAGATTGCTTGGACGGAGACTGTACACAGGAACAGTGGATTCCGAAGTCTTCTGAAGGTTTGCAAGAATCTACTTCCTATTCAAAACTGTATGATTATATGCTAGCATTAAGCTAGCCCTCCCTAAAGCACTCATCAAGTCATTAATGAGTCATGTCTGTTCGCCCTTAGAATACACGGAAAATGCCAACCTTTGCAAATAAAGTTCTCTGTAATGGCCGCGCCATAGCTCAAGCGGTTAGTTGCTGGCTTCCCACCGCGGCGGCCCGGGTTCGATCCCAGGTCTGGTCAAGTGGGATTTGTGGTGAACAAAGTGGCGCTGGGACAGGTTTCCTCCGAGTACTTCGGTTTCCCCTGCCAATCTTCATTCCACCAATTGCTCAACAATCACCATCACCTTTCATCTGGGGCTGGTACAATAGGCCAGAAGTGGCCGCAGTACAAGGGACTTAGTCCAACACCACTAGCAATAAAAAAACAATGAAGTTCTCTGTACCACCGGTGGTTTCCCAAGGCGCACACCGGTCAGATTTTCAACATGCGTACACATAACACTGCGCGGAAGTCTCATAAAACAACGCAAATGTTCCAAAAGCAAACTAAATTGAAGCTCAACACAGGACGTATAAGAGGCTTAAGCTTGGCGGCGATTAGGCGTATCATTGTTCAAGAGACGTACCTGCCGTTTATTACAGGCTAAATAATATAAGGGCCGGTCACGGTAGCCGAGCGGTCTAAGGCATCTACCGTCTTCGCTCGCTTGAAAACTGGGATCATGGGTTCGAATCCCACTCAGGGCATGGATGTTCAGTTTGTGTGCGTTTTTCTGTGTTTGTCTACAGGTAGAGGCCTTGCGACGAGCTGATCACCCGCCCAAGGAGTCCTACCGAATGTGTAAGATCTAGAAAAACCGAAGTGAACGGAGAAGTTCATGGAGGTAGGCCTAGGCCCACTGGGGCTGTAGTGCCAAGAAAAAAAAATAATATAAGGCATAACCTGAACCGACGGAAGCCTTGTTACACAGGCCACTGGCTTGTAAAGATGTGCAATGTTGTAAATATCATTTCTCTGCATCGTTTTATATTTGTGAGTATTGTCACGTATTAGTGACTATACACGGAGTTTGATTATTAAACTCTTACAAATCGTAACGACAAGTAATTATAACGCTCTCACTAATTAACGTATTCGACTTCTCACTACAGCACTCTCTAAGTCTTATAGTCTCCACTAGCTGTTGCCTTGTAACGGATCATAACAATGTCCTTTGCATGGTCTTTGGCTGCTGCCTACCATCTCACACCTTTTTTTTTATTACTAATGGGGTGGGACTAAGTCCCTTGTACTGCTGCAACTTCTGGCCTATTGTAACAGTCCCAGATGATAGGTGAGGGTGATTGTGGAGCAACTGGTGGAATGAAGATTGGCAGGGGAAACCGAAGTATTCGGAGAAAACCTGCCCCAGTGCCACTTTCTGCACCACAAATCCCACTTGACCAGACCCGGGATCGAACCCGGGCCGCCGCGGTGGGAAATCTCACAACTAACTCAAGGCGGCGAATCTCAACTCATGACTGTATTTCCATTACAGCTGTCCCGAAACTCTCTCACTTCCCCAACTCTGTCCTTCGCTGTAACTAACCAACATCCTCGACTGACTAAAAAAGTCAAAGTCGGAGTTGTTTTTTATGCCTGACGGTTTACCGCCAGTCAGTTCTCCTTGGCATCAAGCCCCTTGAAACTCACGACCGGAAATATTTTCAACTGAATCCTTGTGGTAATAGTCCTTATAAAACATCCTTTCTGATGATAAGATTGGTTTGTCTCTTATGAATATGCTTGGCCTTTCGTCAAATGCACATTTCTCACACAGAGGAAGTCATTGAAAATTCATGCTTTTGCACTATATACAAGTCCTCTGTCAGTACAGGCTTTGCAAAGCAGGTCTTGTTCTACAGCGGCAGCTTAGTCACGTGGACAGTAGTAAGCTTTGCCACCGTCAAGTTTAAGCCTCTTATCTCTTCTGTGTCTGGCTTCACCCTGTCCTATAATACAAACATATTCATTCTCATGATTTTGTATGACTTCTGCTTGTCACCTGCACAGTTTGCTATATAATCGTATACATACGGAAGGCTGAAAGCCGTGTGCAAATCGCGGACTGGTTTGTCCCTTGGAGAATTCCCAATGGTGCGGAGAACCTTGTTATATAGGCGCTGCAATTTTAAGAGGTGGGTGTCTGCCGGTAATTCCTAGGCGGGACAAGCGTAAGTCATTACTGATCTGATCAGTGCCTTATGGAGGGTTTGTTTAATGCTGGGGATTAAACACTCATTTTTTAATAAGGAGTAGATTATAATAAATGTTCTGAAGGCCTTGGCTTCAATCATTTCTGTTTGCAGTCTCCATGTAATCCTCTTATAGAAGAATACACTGATATATTTTACATTTTACGAAGAGAATATTTCGTTCATTCAATGTAAGATGAGTCTCAGGCGGCCTAAGTCTACGAGAAAAGTAGATGATTTTTATGTTCCAGTAAGAGTTAGAGTCAGAGTCACTTTACGGGTGGCTGTGTACCGCCAGTCAGTTCTTCTAGGCGACAAGCCCCTTGAGACACAAGACAAGAATTCTAATTTTCCAACTGAACACCTGCGGTTATGATCCTTATATAACATCCTGTCTGACGAGAGGATGGGTCTGTTGTTTACAATTGCTGCTGGTTCTCGCCAGTGCAGTCATTCTCAGGTCCCAGTCCCGCAGGACTCATGATCACATTTTAATGTCACAGATTCGAGACACCCCCAACCTGGAGGGCCGTTGCCTGGAAATGGGCTGGGTGTTATTAATTGTTTACTGAGGCGTTACCATGCAACGTACAATAATGAGATAGTTATGTCACAATATGTTATAGTACGAACACTTGATACGTGGAAAGACACTGACAAAAGACTAACCATTCCTCTGATCTGATTATGACTTAATGTTCCGATATGTGAATAAAGGTCTAGCCATCCGCCCCAGAAAATGCTCGACGCCAGGACGGACTGACGGAAAACTGTCAGTCGTGAAGTGATCATGATAAAAATGTTTACCTTTCAAAGGATTAATATTTCAGTTTCAGTTTTATGCCTTTCTTCCGAAGTCACTTTGAAATCAGTGGCATTTAGTAGGCAGAGTAACGTCTTGTGATATTTAACAGCACATGTCCATGACAAACCTAATTGAGAAACAGGGTATAAGAAAGGTAAAGTTGTCCACGTGCTTAATTCATTAAGCATCATGGCGTAAAGACATATGGGAGAGTGGGGTTATAGCTCCATCATTCTTGACCTCGGCACTAAATGGAAGTGAGTGATGAGCCTCACGTCCCTGCCGCTTTACCCTGCTGCCTCCATCTTCAGATTACAATAGTGTGCAGGCTCTTCTGAAACGTTCATAACGCAGATAGGAAATAGGGACTAGCTCTATCGATTGGGCCCAACTGAGTAGGTTTTACCTGAAGACGAAGACAAAATGCAGTCTCCGAAACGTTGTGTTTTGAGAAATAAACAGGCCGGTGATTTTAGATAAAGACATGACAATGAATAATGTCCAAAAACGTAATATTTGTACTTCAATTCATCAATCATCTGTCATCGCATATAATTTAGTTACTGACAATATCGTAAAAAAGTCACAGAGTGAATGCGGCGGGACGGTTTGCTCGTAACAGGGACCTTGTTAAACATAAAAGTGAAGGTCAGTGGAACGGGTGTCGCGGAATTACCAAGTCATGAAAAGAAGTGAGGCGTTGCGTAACGAAGGACACGCGCTCTGTTTTCCGGTTGCTTCCACACTCGAACCCGGTGTATGCACGTTCCTGTCGTGTGACAGCCTTCCTCTGTTATTACAAAATCCAAAATTTATTGTCGTCAAAATGAAAACGTATCCAGTTCACGTCACAGCTTATTTCCATATTATATATTTTAATAACATGCTCTTACTTATGTGTATATTTTCCAAGTAGACTCTCCTATTGAGATTTAACTAAAATTCCGTATGTATTTCTTGACTCCTCTATGCGTAGTACATATCCTGCCTCATCCTTCATTAATTACCCTAATGACAGCAGTACAAGAGTACTTATACAATGCATAGATCTTCACCAGAAAGTCACTTTAATGAATTCCTTGTGAAAAGCGCGTTTAAAAGGAACCCATAATAGTAAGAGCGTGGTTGCGTCCGTTTCAACTCAGAAACAACTCGAAGGTTTTCGACAAAAATTGGTATGGTAATTATCAAAAAACTTTGTAGACAGAATTTAATTTTGTTTCGTATCGGCTTAATATAAATGGAGCTCCAATCGAGTACGTATATCGGTGTATCGCTCATGTAACATAAATTAAGGATATCATTACAACCTATCCAGTTTCTTGTGACGAGTTAAGAATTTAACAAATGAAAGGACAAATAATTAATTTGCAGTGTGATATCTTTGATATCAATAGCTTTGCCAAAACACATTTGTTCAGTGACATATGCAAAATAACAAAGAACATACGAAAGTGCCTACCTCACCGGTATTTTAATTGATGCTAAATTACGCTTACCTTTAAAAGTCATTACAAAATCAACCTTCTACATCTCTATTCACGTTATCATTCTGTACGTTCACACAACACGTCTGACGTGACGCATTTATTCGGAACACTGCACAAGGCAACAGCCATTAACACCGCACACGACTCGCAGTTCGAGACCATTGACAGACAGAATGAGGCACAGTTCAGCTGTAAGCTAACAAAACAAATGAAACTCACACGCCACCACGCTTACCTCCAAGGTACAAACCTGTCTGCGGGCTCGAGCGGTCTGACACAACGTTATAACATCCCAAGCAATCACCCGGCACAGCGACCAGGAGTTTCGTAATTTCTAATATTAGAAGAGTCTAGCGTGTTTCGACTTTGATGCCGCTTGACAGGACAGTTTCAGACCTTGTCCAGCTGTTTCCATTTGGTTTGGTTGCAGCTTTATAATTTGCACTCTTCTCCAAATATAATTAGAATGATCCAGTCAAGGGGGATGTGATGGCAGAGAATGCAGCACGCATGGCAGAGAAGAGGAATGCTTACAGGGTTTTGGTGGGAATGCCAGAAGGAAAGACACCACTACGAAGACCTCGACATACGTGGGAAGACAATATTAAAATGGATGTAAGAGAAATAACGTGGGGTGGTTTAGACTGGATTCATCTGCCTCAAGATAGGCTCTTGTGACTAAAGCAATGAACCTTTGGATTTCATAAAATGTTGGTAAATTCTTGAGTAACTGAGCAACTGGTGGTTACTCAATAAGAACTGAACTCCATTGTATATTAATTGGTTCAATATACAGGCCATTTATGTAAGGGTCAAATTAAGTTTTAAGCAGCTAATGTTTTGAGTCCTCTGACAGAATAAAAGAATTTAATATGACAGTTCTCTTACATAGGTACTGTCATATGTAAATTTCACTCAGTTTTAATTAAATTTATGGTTAATTTTATTTGCGGCCCTCAATTTATAATTTAGTGTCGTGAGATTTGGTGAATATGAAGACAAACAGTGGCGCCGTGTAGCCTCGCAGAAAGATTTCAAATTTCGGCAGCGCCTGTTGTTTCCTTCTGCAGAGTAGAAAACTGAGGCAGCAGGTAACGGGCAAAGTTGCCCCTGTGCTTAATTAAGCACCACTAAGATTGCTAAGACTGAAACGAGAAATCAGTCATGATAGACATCACACAGAGGAGAACTGGCTGGAAACGTGTCATGCATGACACAGGGGTGCCAACCACTGTATTATATTGCTTGAAGAAGTGTAGGATGCATTGCAGCAAATTTGTAAGTCCATCTGTTAAAAGAAAAGGAGCCAATCTAGCATTTGCTGAGCTTCTCCATTACCATCAGTCCACTGGTAAAACCAAGATCTTTCCTCGCTTGAGTTTACCTCAAATTTCTGAAACAATGTAAGCTCATTAAAATAGACATATAACACAGTGTTCATTTTGTTAGGTAATTATTTCGAAATTATTTAGATATATCATAAATCGAATGTGCAGCCAACACACTGATACGATTCTACTTGGCCATCGTGAGTTTACTTTCTCTTAAAAGTGACAGAAAACTTTTCACTCCAACATGTGCCAGTGTATGAGTCATGTGCTCTACAGTCCCGCTGGAGGCTCCAGTGATTCAAGCTAGTTTTTCTTGGCATGCAGTCTGTGAATATATATTACAGGGTTACTATAAATGATTCATTCGTTTTTAAAACGCTATATTTTTCAAAGCAATACACGTACAAATATGATTGATATATAAAAAGAACCATAAACTCACCCAGTTTTCTTCACACACTACAAATGTTCTATGTGTGCCCCTTGGGTCACACGACACACGTCCAGGCGGTAGTCTACCTCGTTCCACACATTTTGTAGCATCATCCTGTCAATGGTCATCACTGCGTTCCCTCAGCTCTACTAGTGGGGGTACGTAAACACGATCCTTAATGTACCCCCAAAGGGAGACGTCACAAGGCGTTAGATCAGGTGATCTGTGGGGCCAAGTGAACAGAGCTACGTCATCCTCACCAACACGCCCAATCCAGCGATGCCGAAGTTCAGTGTTTAGTTAGCGACGAACATTGATGTTTCAGTACAAACTTTGTGAGTTTACGCTTCTTTTTATACTGAAGCATATTTGTACGTGTAATACTTTGGAAAATATAGCGTTTTAAAAACGCATGAATAATTTTATGAGACGCCCCGAAAATCTGTGGTGTAGAGGACAGGATAATTGTATTATAAGGATAGGGTCTAGTATCATGTCCCTGTGAACTTGGTAGTTAAATTTGTGTTCCATATGAGACATGTTAGCTCGTGGCAAACTGAATAAGTATCAAATTCTCACTGATAAGTGGGTAGCACTCAACTTAGTAACTGTGGTCTCAGTTTCAAATCTTAGTCCAGATACCAGCTATCTTGACAGATTTTTTTCATACAGGGTCATTCTACATTATTGTCGGGGTTTTCCTTTAAAGGTCATTAAAATCACTCTGTATATTCATGAATTTGTGTTAATGTTAAATTTTAATATTTTTTTCAGTAACTGTTTTCATATTACTTATTTTTGTTGTTTCATTGAGCACTGTGAATATCGGCATGGAGTTGTTATCGTTACTGTAATGCGCAAAAATATATTACTAACATACTCGTAAGTTAATTGCTATGTTTATGTTTCTGTATTTTATTTTATTCTTATATTCACGAACCCCATTACCACATACTGAACACAGGGTATATTTTAATGCTAGTGGGGTGGGACTAAGTCCCTTGTACTGCGGCCACTTCTGGCCTATTGTACCAGCCCCAGATGATAGGTGAGGGTGATTGTGGAGCAATTGGTGGAATGAAGATTGGCAGGGGAAACCAAAGTACTCGGAGAAAACCTGCCTCAGCACCACTTTGTCCACCACAAGTCCCACATGACCAGACCCGGGATCGAACCCGGGCCTCCGCTGTGGGAAGCCAGCGACTAACCGCTTGAGCTATGGCGAGGCCCTAACATAGGGCATACATACGGATCAAAAACATATACTATGGCTGTCATAAGGACAGGAATAAAGGGAAGACATTTAAAATCCTTGGAAATATATCACATTTATAAAATAGACAGGGACAACTTACATATGAACGACATATACATCGATACATACAATCCAATATTTCAGGCATTACTCGAACTTTACGACAGACAGCAGCACACATCCCCCCAGTAAAGATATATAAGCGGAAACAACCCCACAGAACGCCCGTGATAATGAAGTGACATACACTCAGCTTACGTACTAATGGGGCACGTTGGCCGCGGCATAGCTCAAGCGGCGAGGCGCTGGCTTCCCACCGCGGCGGCCCGGTTTCGATCCCGGGTCTTGTCAAGTGGAATTTGTGGTGGACAAAGTGGCGCTGGGGCGGGTTTTCTCCGAGTACTTCGGTTTCCCCTACCAATCCTCATTCCACCAAATTCTCCATCATCATAATCACCGGGGCAGGCTACAATAGGCCAAATAGTGGTCGCCGTGCCGAGTGGACCCAGTTGGACTCCATCCCTCACTAAGCGAATTAAAAAAAATTGGGCACGCAAGTATTAATGTAAGTTATTTGTTATGCTTATGTGTCTGTATGTAATTTTCATATTATTCTTACATCTACATCCACCTTTCTTTTTCTACTAGTTTCTCCCTACGATGGCCAGTGTTTACATTTGGGACTAATCACCCGGTGTTACATGCCAATGTCTCTTATATAAGTGTTCTTATATTCACTGCAAAAATAACCTGAAATCTTACGTAATAAGTTCAACTATTTCTGCTTAGCTTTCATTGAAGTTAATCAGTTACATGGGAAAAGAAATTCTTGAGAAGCTAATAGTCACTTTGTTGGTGAACAAATGCTCCGCTCTTTACGGGATCGTTTTTCCAGCAGCACAGAAATGAACCTTACTTGCAGCCAGAAGAATCCCGAAGATTCATATCATAATATTCTTGTAAGTATGCTTCTGTCTCCCAGTAGAATTTTCCTTACAGGGTTTACTACTGCAACTCTCTATATATATCTCACCTCTCTTATGCGCACTATATACACTTATCGTTTCGTCCTATAGATCTGATCATCTCAATATTCCATGAATAGTACAAATTACGAAATTTCCTACTAAGGCGTTTTCTTCGCCCTTCTATTCCCTGCCTCCTTCTCCATTAATGCACGTATGAGAGCAAGTTTTATACCGTATTAAACAATAGACAAAATTAGACGTTTTTAGTTTTAGGTTTCAGACGGCAAATGAAAAGAACATTCCTCAGAATAATTTCTTATTTTAATCTATTAATATACATTAATTTTATTTTGTACTGCCCGTCCCCCATATATTAATATGTCACATTTTGAAGAATATGTTATACTACTGTGTTTATATTTTGATTTTGTCCACCATTTAAAATTGATCTTATAAATGCAGCATCTTGTGACGTAAATTATATTCAAATCGGTGACAATATCCAGTAACTGTCTGTAACCATGAGAATGATGTCCTATACCCAACATCAGGGCAATGCTTTGTCAGCCAAACAATTATCGCCTTACCAAGGTAGCGCCTATCCATGGTGAGACACAAATATCGTCCCCTCCCCCACAAGGTTTCTCGAAAGCAATACGGCAGACTTGTGCGGTGTATCAGTCACTACGAGTGGCTCGTGGTAGTCTTCTGTTTTCTCAGGAATCGGTGTGAGCAGTTTTGCTCTACAGGGGAACTTCAACTTGGAAAGCAGAATTTCTGTACGTACTAAAGCCGTCGTCACACACCTGTAAGGCCATTGCATGTCTCTAAATAATTACTACAGGAGTATCGCATGAAACTGGAGAGAAATTTATGTCCTGAGAGTGGTCTGAATAAAAAAGCAACCATTCTGACATTTCAGCGTGTTCCTAACATCGCCTTGGGGGCGATAATTGGGACGTCTTTAGACGAGATTATATTTCGAGATTTGAGGTTATTTTGGCCATAACTACGATAAGCATTCTCTCCTGGAATATCCTATATTCCGGTAGAAGTTTACCGACGTTTCGGAGGAAAGTACTGCTTCCATCTTCAGTATCGAAGGGTAAGCCAAATAAACAAACAAGAAGCAAGCAAGCAGCACTGCTACTCGCCTTACTTTTCGATTCCGAAGCTGGAAGCTTCTACCAGGTTACATGGTGTCACGTCCCCTTCATGACTTCTTTTGTTTCCAGATTCATGTTCAGACACTTCGAACAAAATATTGGGACAAGGCTGTGGT